TTAACAACAAGTTTTGCTAGTTTGTGTCATTTTACCTTTTGAAAACACTTAAGAAGCTGTTATATAGTCTAAGACATGTTATTTATAGAGTGTATCCTGGTTCATGAAACTTGCAATTTGTTAAGTCCAGACAATAAATATTTTAGTGCAGTTTTATAAAATTTCCATCTTGAACTTTTATGCTTATTTCATACTTGTATTATCAATCAGCAAGAAATCACCTTGTTATTGTGGTTAGATTTTTTGCTTTATCATTGAATTATTGTCACTTTGCATTATTAGGAATGAGAATCAATTTGTACACTAACATAGGTCCAATTAAAGTCTAGTAAGGGACCCAGGAGGGCCTACCTTTCCAACAGGGCTTGTTAGGAGCTGCTGGCACACTAATAGAGTTAGGTGGCTGGCTGGTAGAGTGTCTGTCTCTGGTTCCTCACCTAGTAGACCTGCTTACCTCTCTTACCACCTGCTACCCAGCAGTCTGCTAATGATTGAAGTGAATACATTTTAGGACCCTGGTTTACTTGAATTAATATTACTGTCCCCTTGGAGAGCTAGCAGGACATTTAAAAAAAGTATAATTTAGGCTATCTGACTTTCTTGCTGCTTCTCTTATTATGCCATTTAATCAGTAATTGACTGTATTCTATATTAGCAAACCAACTCCTTTTTTTTTTTTTCAATCACAAAGATTGTTGACTTTTCATTCATTTCAGTGCCACAAGACAAACTTTTATTCTTCAGATTCAAATTCTTTTCCACGTTTTTATGTTGACTTTTAGGAAAGTGTTTTCTTTTGTGTTCCCCTCCACCCCCACCCCCTTCATCTTCAGGTAACATTTTATCTACAAATGAAGCCATCTTAGTCTTTTAATATTGTTGTTAAGTGCCAAATCGGTTCCAACAGATAGTTGCTTATTTGAAGATCTTAATTGGAGTAATTTTGTTAAAACAGAAAAGCAGAAAGAAAGCTTTTATGAATGGAAAAGAAAATGGTAGGACCAGCTATTTCCAGCTCCTACGTCAAGTTATTTTTCTGTGATGGACAGAAAAGATTTTTAATGTCTGTAGAGGATATTTCCTATATGTTGTTGCTGTTAAGTGCCGTTGAGTTGGTTCGGATTCGTAGAGACTGTATTGGGTGTTTGAAGAGCACTTGGTGAGTTTGAACCACTGATCTTGTAGTTAGCAGGCCAGTGCTTATCCTGCAGTGTCGTGTCAGGACTCCTGTATACATTGATATAATAGGAACCTATGGAAGTTCATAGTACAAATCATGATTTACCCAACAGTTGCCTTAATATTTTGTGGAGAAGAGTCTGGGACTACGTTAGGCTAAAGACAAAATGGTTTTTATTCTGTAAGCGCTACAGTAGAAATGAATTTATAAAGGTATTGTATAAAAGGATACAATATACATTTTGTAAAAATGGCATTATTTTAAAGCTCCATACAAATTACTATCTAGGCACTTGAGTTTAACTGTCAAATAGTTGTTTGTTGTTGGTGTTAAGTGCCATTGAGTTATAACTGAATCATAGCGACCCTGTATGGGGTTTCTGAGAAACAGCTGGAAATTCAAGCTGGATTCAGAAGAGAACATGCAGTGAGGGATGTCATTGTTAGCATCAGATGGATCTTGGCTGAAAACAGAGACTATCAGACAGATGTTTACTTATGCTTTATTGACTATGCAAAGGCTTTTTTTTTTTAGGTTTAAACAGTTTTTATTGCATTTTAAAAGATGTTTTATTGTGAATTATATGATAGTTTACATGGGAGAACATTAGCTTTCCATCCTATCATATATCGTTTCATTGCCATGGTTATAATCCCTTCATGCATCATCAGCCAACCAGAGGGCATACCTTGCAAGCCTGCCCCCCCCCGGTGGTCAGCACACAGCTCTTCTCCCTCTCTGGGTCTAGAGTTTCCCAGCCACTCCATCTCAGGCATCACTGCTTCTCTGGGTAGGGTCCCGCTCTCCGGATCTTCTCCATTGATGGTCCTAGGGACCTCCGCTCCTAGAATGCAAAGGTAATCACTCCCATCCTTGCTATAAACCGTCTACCTTTACATTTCCAACCCTCACAATCAGTCCTGATAACAGTTATTCACTATTGTATCACAAGAGACTTATCTGCATTTCATTTCATCAGCCCTGCCTAGACAGACTGGATGCTACTCACTGGAGAGTCTACCTTCCTCCACGCCCTCTGGATCTAGGTTCCCTCTTGAAAGCTTGTAAGCCAGTCACTTCTTGCCTTTGTAGCCCTCCCCCTCTCTCCATTTTGGGTAGCCAATGTCCAAGTTGCCCATCCCTGTTCTACTCTGTGTGTGGAGGGGGTGGGAATGATTCTTAATGTAAGGATTTGTTCCCTCTTTTGAGCTACTGCATCCTTAGGTGTAGGTCAAGTTCATCAAATTGTATCAGATTATGCTTTTTTCCCTCTTCTTTCTTATTCTGGTTAAGCTCTGATCATCCAGTCATCAAAGCCAGGTCAAGTGGGTATTATCTGCAAGAGTGGGTGTTCTTGCGCATATCCCCTCTCTTCTTATCAGCTGGATGCTTCACTCTCCACTCGAGTCCTCTGTGGCTGTGTCACTGACTCTGGGCCCAAGATCCCCAGGTCTTGCCACACTGCTGGCCGACCAGGTCTCCACCCAAGTTCACAGGAGCCCATTGAACTTTGTAGGGCTTAGCTTCCTGCTTCATTGCTGTTTTTCCCTCACTTCCCCTATGGGTGATGAGCGTGGTTGCCAATCAGAGCGTGTATTCCCATTGAGTCTTAGTCTCGGAAGAGGGTTTATGGAAAGACTTTTGACTTTGTGGATCATGACAAACCATGGATAAAATTGCGAAGAATGAATATTACAGAACACTTCATTGTACTTATGAAGAACCTATATATAGTGGTTACAAGTTGGGCTGCTAACCTCAAGGTCAGCAGTTCTAAACTATCAGTGGTTCCTCGGGAGAAAGATGAGGCTTTTTGCTCCTGTAATGATTTACAGCTTTGGAAACCGTACACGGGGTCACTATGGGTCAGAACTGACTCGACAGCACTTAGCAATGACAACAACCAAGAGGCCGTCATTAGAACAGAGCAAAGGAATACTGAATGGTTTAAAATCAGAAAAGGTGTGTGCAAGGATTGAATCCAGTCATCCAAAAAGATGGATTATATAAATAAGATTACATCAGGATTGGTAGAAGACTCATTAATAACCTGTGATAGGCAGATGATAAAACCATACTTGTTGGAAACAAAGAGGACTTGAAGTACTTACAGATGAAGATCAAAGCCTTCAGTATGGATTGCACCTCAGTGTAAAGAAAACAAGAATATCACCACTTGACCAATGGTTGATCAGAGCAAAATGAAGTCTTTGACAACTGCAGTCTTTTCTCCACTTTTCATGGTGTGTTATATTGGTCTAGTGGTGAGGATTTTTTTTTTTTTTTTTTACATTGAGGTGCAAACCATACCAAACACTGCATACCAAACTTTGATCTTCATCAGTAAGTATTTTAAGTACTCTTTATTATCAGCAAGCAAGGTTATATCATCTGCATATATTAACAACTGGTGGGTTGTTAATAAGTATTCCTCCAATTTTGATGTGACAGTCTTCTCTTCATATAGTCAGGCTTCTCAGATTATGTGCTCAGCATACAGACGAGTAAGTATGGTGAATACAACCCTGGCACACACCTTTCCTAATTTAAAACCATTCAGTGTTTACTGGTTCTGTTTGGACCACTGCCTCATGGTCTCTGTACAGGATCCTCATAAGAACAATTAAGTGTTCCATCAAAACTCATAGAAGCAGCAGTCAAGAAATCAAATGATGTATTGCATTAGGCACAGTTGCACAAGACCTTTTAAAATGTTCAAGAGCAAAGATACCGGTTTGAGGACTAAGGTGCACCTGACTCAAGCCATGGTACTGTTAGTAACCTCATATGCATTTGAAAGCTGGACAGTGACTTAAGAAGACTGCAGAAGAATTGATGCATTTGCATTACGGTGTTGGAGGAAAATACTAAAAGCATCACAGGCTTCCAAAGGAACAAACATCTGTGTTGAAACAAGTCTAGCCAGAATGCTCCTGGAAGCCAGGATGGCAAACTTCGTCTCTCATACTTTGGACCTATTAACAGGAGAGACCAATTCCTGGAGAAGAACATGATGCTTGGCAAAGTAAGGGTCGGAGAAACAGAGGAAGACCCCCAACGAGACTGATTGTCACAGTGGCAGCAGCAGTGGGCTTAAAGAATAACAACAATTGTGAGGATGGCACAGAACCGGGTAGTATTTTGTTCTGTTGTGCAGAGAATCGCTAAGAGTTAGAACTGACTTAATGACACCTATCAACAACAGCAGAAATAACAGTTGGTGTTCATATTCTCGGATTCTGTTTGAATTTGCCTACTTGTAAAATATATTTCTAACCCCCAAGTCAATCTTTGTGGCACTTCTGTGGTCATTTGCAGACATGTATTGTTTTTGTTGTGGTTAAGTGTTGTTGAGTTGGTTCTGACTCATAGTGACCCTGTGTAGTGACAAGGAGAGGCTTGTGAGTTTGAACCGCTGACCTTGCAGTTCAAACCAACCTTGCCATCCATCTAGTATGTAGTATCGGATGCGTGGTGGTATGCTATATAGTCGATTCTGACTCATAGTGAACCCTGTACAAGGTTTCCGAGGCTGTAAATCTTTACGGGAGCAGAAAGCCTCATCTTTCTCCCACGGAACGGCTGGTAGTTTCAAACTGCTGACCTTGAGGTTAGCGGCCCAACATGTAATCCCCACGCTACCAGAGCAGCCCGTCACATCTTTAGGTAATGTGGCTGGTGGGTTCCAATCACTGCTGCTTCCTTTAGCAGCTGAACGCTTAACCACTGCTTGTTCTTATATAGCTATATGGGTTAAAGTTGTAATGATTGTCTCTTTGGTTTACTTTTCTGATTTCACTTTTCTTTCTTTTCTCCCCAGACAGTGCAATGCTTGCTAGACAGTGGTGCTGATATTAACCGGCCAAATGTATCAGGTGCCACTCCACTGTACTTTGCATGCAGGTATGAGAATTTATTTATGTTTTTAATTGCTACCATTAAAAAATAGTATATTTTTTCTTAAGTTTTTACAGTTAAGGTCTTATGCAGTAGTTCTCCTTTTGTGACTGAAAAAATACCCACACTAAAAGAGGAAAAAAAAAAAAAAATATATATATATATA